AGAACATAAAGCTGAATCAAGAGACATAAGATGTATGCAAAGTAATAATTCTGAGTTATTTCTAAGTGAGTTAATGCAGGATTGCAATTTAGAATCAATATATAATGAATGCAATTCACAGCATATATTATATCAGGCAGAAAAGTTATTTTTGGAAATTTATGATATAGAAGATAGTACAAATATTCTTATTAATAAGCTAATTAAGCTTTTAATTGAAACGCAAGATGAAGGAAATAATTTCGATGAAACTAAGAATTTTATTAACCATTGTATATTTCTTTCAAATAGAACTTCAAATGAGCTTTTTGAATGGCTTCACGAAAATCAAGTGAAATCAAATTATCAATTTTTCTTGGGATTTTTGTATTTTAGCAGTACAAATTTTGAAAAAAATTATATTGAAGCATTTAAATTATTTTTAAATGCTTCTGAAGATAATTATCCTATTGCACAAGTTTATCTTGCAAATTGTTATAAAGAAGGATTAGGAATCGAGATAAATGAAGAACTTGCATTTAAATGGATGCAAAAAGCCGTAGAAAATGAAAGCATTTGTGGACAACTAAATCTTGGTTTTTATTATGAGAATAGCATCGGAACAGATGAAAATTTATATAAAACTTTTATTGGTATCAAAAATCAGCTAATAATGGAAATTTATGTGGTTTATTAAATATAGGTAGATGTTATGAATTAGGAATAGGTATAGAGAAAAGTGAAAGTAAAGCATTTGAAATATATAAAAGATTTCATGAAAAAGAATTTATAAATGGATTATATAAACTTGGAATTTGTTATTTTTTTGGAATTGGAACAGACAGATAAAAAAGAAGCATTTAAAATATGTGAAAAATTAGCTGAAAAAGGACATGAAAAAGCACAAGCTTTTCTTGCAATATTATTTTATCATAGTTTAGGAACTGAAAAAAATTTAGAAAAGCATTTTATTGGTATCAAAAAGCTGCAGAAAATAACAATGCAGCTGCAATGAATAATTTAGCTCTATGTTATTATAATGAATAAGGAACTGAAAATAATTTAGAAAAAGCATTTTATTGGTATCAAAAAGCTGCTGAAAATGATAATATAATTGCAATGTATAATTTAGCTTTATGTTATCAAAATGGTGAAGGAATCGAAAAGAATTTAGAAAAAGCATTTCATTGGTATCATAAAGCAGCTGAAAATGGTTATACTGCAGCACAAAATAAACTTATAAATTTATATGAAAAAGGTGAAGTTAATGAAATTAATTTAAAAGAAACATTATATTGGTATCATAAAGCAGCAGAAAATGGATATATTAGAGGGAAGAGTAATCTCGCAACATTATATAAAAAAGGTAAAAAGTAGAAAAAAATTTAGAGATTTCCATTTATTGGTATCAGAAAGCGGCTGAAAATGATTATGAAATTGCAATGTATAATTTAGCTAAATGTTATCGAGATGGGAAAGGAACAGACAAAAATTTAGAAAAGGCTATTTACTGGTATCAAAAAGCTGCTGAAAATGGTAATGAATTAGCAATGTATCATTTAGCTACATATTATAAATGTGGAGATGTTATAGAAAAGAACTTAGAAATGTCCTTTTATTGGTATCACAAAGCAGCAGAAAATAATTATATTGTTGCAATGTATAATGTAGCTTTATGTTATCAATTTGGAGAAGTGATAGTAAAGAATTTAGAAAAGGCTATTTATTGGTATCAAAATGCAGCAGAAAATGGCAATATATGTGCGCAAAATATGCTCTCAGTATTATATAAAGGTGGAGGAATAAAAAGAGATTTGGAAATGAGTTTTTATTGGTGTCAAAAAGCTGCAAATAATGGGAATAAAATTGGATTGCTTAATTTAGGTGAACATTATGAATTTGGAAACGGCGTTGAAAAAAACGAGTTTAAAGCTTTTGAGTTTTATAAAAAATCAGTTGAAAATGGATTTGAGGATGCAAAATTTAACCTCGGATATTGTTATATAAATGGAATTGGAACAGAAATTAATAAAGAATTAGGGCTCAGGTTATATAATGAAGTTGCTAGAAAAAAAGACTGTAATTTGGAATTGTTAGATGATTATGATAAAATAGTGAATGACTTAGAAAAAGTTAATTTTTGGTATCATAAGGCTGCGGAAAACGACAATAAAGTTGCCTTATATAAATTAGGCGAATTATATGAATTAGGAAAAGGTGTTGGTGAGAATTTAGTTAGAGCATTTGAATTTTCTAAGAAATCAGCTAATAAAGGATACTTCGAAGCTCAATATAAAGTTGGATATTATTATGATAATGGCTTTGGAATTGATGTTGATAAAGAAAAGGCTTTTGAATTGTATAAATTAGCAGCTAATGAAGGTAGTTGTAGTTCACAAAAAAGTCTTGCATATTATAAGAACAAGGCGTCGGAACAAACAAAGATATAGACAATGCTATTTATTGATATAAGAAAGCTTAGAAAAATGGATGCCAAGAGTCAAATGAACATTAAATACCTATAATAATATTTATTTCTGGTTTAAAATTTTGTAAGAAACCGAGTACTCTCGAAACTTCATTTGATTCAATTTTTTTTATAATTTATATGAATGAGTCGTTTATATTTATCTAAATATTTGTTAGATTCCAGATAAGTTTTGTTTTCGTTAATATGAAAATTTATAAAATATATTTGAAAAAGCAGAATGTTAGAAGTATTTTTTTTCACTGAATCTAACATTTAGGATAAGTCAAAGATTTTGTGGATCTAAATGATTTTTCTAATTTTGACTTCAAACCATGCAAACTCGAAGAATTTTCGAAATACTGAATATGTAATCTCAGACTAACTTAGTTGACCTCTGACATGCTGCTTTTCCTATCTTGATGATATTGCTATAAAATCTCGATAACTTGTCTTAAGATTGCACCCCGATCTTTATATGGCGTAAATCCTTTGAATTCTTCAAGGAGATATTGATCGCCAAATCAGTGCGAGTTTAACTCTACGATTTGAAAAAAATTGAACTATTAAATCTTGCCGCATAAAAATTTTCTCTCACGAAATTGTAATCATTAGATGTAAACTTTATGAAACTTACCATTATTATTTAAATACTGCTGCTACCGTGAAAACTTTCCTTTAACAAGATTTCATAATTGTGTTGTCATTATCATTGTCGTGTTGAAGGTATTTATCGATAAAAATACATAGCAAATTTTTTTACGTAAGGTGTAAATAGGATCAATTAAGTTCGTTCCACTAGTTTCAAGTTTATTCTGAAAAGTTAATAAGCTGGAATGGAAATTATTTAAAAAATAAATGTTAATATTCGAGAGAATATTTAGGAAGTTACACCAATTTTAAGTATAATTATATGAAAAACAATGAGCTTCTATTATATTGATATATTAATATCATTCAACCCGAAAACGATCCAAAGATCGTTCAAAAGTGAAACTTATAATCTTTCGGGTGGGATTCGAACTCCTAAAAAGAAATCATATATCCTCAATTATACGTTGTATATATGAAATTCATTAAAGTTCCTTCCTTAATTGCAATATTATATTCTTATTTTACGTGGAGAAATAAGTGCAAGTTGACTGCCATGAAGATACTACAGACCCCCGCCAAAAGTCTCCGGACATTTTTTGGCTCAATATAAAACTTGGAATTTTTAAATTTTATTAAAAAATATTTATTAATATTTTTATAAAGTACGATATGCTACACATTTAGTAATAAATAATTAGCACTTGGTCGGACCTCAATTTGCTTCAATCACAGCCCGAATTCGCTGTGGCATACTATCAACCAAATTTTCGATATTTTGTATCGGAATTTGTTTCCATGCCCTTATAACATGTTAATCGAGTTGAGCAAGGTTGAAAGGCAATTTTTTCCTCTCACGGATGCTCTTCTTGACTTCGGCCCATAGATTCTCAATAGATAGTCGCGGCAATAGTTCGATAACGATCGCCGCGTTGACGGCAAAAAATTATGCCACCGCGTTGTTCTATTGTTAATTCTTTGGACATTTTCGTTGTTTTAAAAAGATAAAATTTTATTTTGATCTAAAATCAAAATAAACAAACCCAAACACGTATTTATTTGGTTTGATTTAAGTAAACAATGGCCGGAACATTATATAGCCGCAATGTTCTACAGTCACATGATGTAATTACTACGAAAAAGCCCGAAAGATGGCGTCCGGAGACTTTTGGCGGGGGTCTGTAAGAATCCTTAAAGATATAATGAAATAATGAAAGAAGCGAAATAAATCGATACTTTACATCAAATATCCTGCGCTTCCATATATTGGATTCATGATAAAATTTTCTTTAATCATACTGAATATTTCGTTTTTTCGTATCGATATGAGAGAATCTTAAAATTTTCTGTACGCTATTTTAATTTTGTAGATATTGGTGGAAATAAAAATTAATAATCGAAATCTTCTTTTACAATTGTAAAATAATGAAAAAAATTCCCACCGATCGAATGAACATATCAGGTTTTATCCAGATTAGACTAATGTATAAACTTTAATAAATCATTATGGGATGATTGCTCCGATAATTGTCTATCAACAATAAAATCTTGATTTAGTTCAAAATTGAAGCTAACCGTATACAAAAAATTAACATAAAATATGAGTATCATTTTTTTTTTTTTTAAAAAAAAAAAAAAAAAAAAAAAAAAATAAAAAGATATTCACAATATTTCTAAACAAAATTTTCCTTAACGATACCATTTTACAATGATTTATGATATTCTTGTTAGTCTAGGATTAGGTATCCTCACATATATAGCTTATTTTTACTTCAAGTATTTCACTCGTTCAAACCCAATTCCAGGTCCAATTCCACTTCCATTTATCGGGAACCAATTTCAACTTAGTGAAGACATATCATTATTTTGTAGAGAATGTCAAAAGAATTATGGTGATATTTGGGAATTTTATGTTGGACATCCAAGTGATAAGACGAGAGGAATTGGAATAGGTAGAGCGGATATGTTAGAAAGGATTTATTCAACAAACTCGAAAACGAGTAATTTTATTAACCGTTCGCCCGTGAATGATGGGTTAGAAGTATATGGTTTTTCATCAAGAGGAATATCATTTAATAGAAACTATGACTCGTGGGCATACTTGCGAAAATTTTTCATACGTGCAGTAATGACTCCGTCATTTGTTAAACAGGCTTTGGTATGGTCCGAAAAGAATTTTGAAGAGATGGAAGGTTATTGGAAGAAACTTTATGGGGATGATCATAATGAATTGGATTTATCCGAGTGGTTAGGTCGACTTTATACTGATAATATCTTTCATATCACGGCAAATAAAAAGGTTTATGCGTTAGCAAACTATTTCAATAAACTTTCTCCAAGGGAAAAGGTTAGCGTGGATTCTACGTTATTGAGAGAATCCGAAGAATTCATTCAAAGGGTTGGAAGTTTTGTTACCAGTTTATTATATTTCATGGTAACACCAAAATCAATTCTTTATCTTCCTATTGGTGGATTCCGTCAAAAAACTTTACAATTATTAAAAGGGCGAGACAATTTGATGAATGATTTGACGAATATTATTACGCGACGAAGAGAAGAAATTGCTAATACTCCTTTAGATGAACCCATCACTCCCGACATGCTTACCATGATGATAACCGTTAACACCGATAGAAGTATTATGGAACGAAGTTCTAATGAAACCCTTACCGAACCGTTAACCGATGAAGCTATAATTGGTAACTTTATGGAAACGACCGCTGGAGGTATTGATTCCATTACTTCCTCAACATGCTTTATCAGTTATTTTATGGCCAAATACCCTGAAGTGAAGAAGCGTGTTTTTGAAGAAATCGATTCAAAATTTACACGTGATCAGAAATTGACTTGTGGAGAACTAAACCAACTTCCTTATTGTGATGCGGTGATTCGAGAAATTTCTCGAATGCATCCAATCGCAGAACTTAATTATCGTGTGAATGCCCAGGAAGAAACTTTCAATGGTTACGTAATTCCTGCCGAAACTCAAATTTATATACATCAATATGGTATAAATATGCATAAAGCTCATTGGACGAATCCTGAAGAATTTAATCCTGATCGATTTTTGAATAATCGAGAAAATTCTTTGAATCTTACATTTGGAGGCGGTATAAGAATGTGTCCGGTAAAATCATCCTTACCCTATTGTTCACCTTTTAAACGTTACAAGAATTACTAAGTGATTATCATTTTTCTTTTAATTTTGACAGGGACGAAATTTAGCAATGATGGAATTGAAAGCGTATATGGTATTGATGTACCGAAAATATGATTTTGAATTGGTTGATAAGAATGCACCTTTGAAAACTCACTATTCTATTATTAGAGCTTGTGATGAATTGAAAGTTAGGGTTAAGCCCAGAGTATTCTAAATTCATTTTATTGTTTTCATACTTGTGGTACTTTTTTATTTATTTATTAAATTACTAAATTTTATCGATATAATCATAACACGTGATTTTGACAACGCTTTATTCTTAAAATAATTTTGAACCTGCTGCCATCGTAAATTCGAAAAATTCTACAAGATATTATTCATTGTTAATTCGTATTTTATCTAAACATTATTTACAAGACATCCAAATATATTATATCTACAGTAGTAGTCAATTTTATTGTAAAGAAACCAGTCAAAAACGTAAATGAATTTGTGCATGAACCGATTTTAAATAAGGTTTTTTTTTGCAAGTGTAACACCATAAGTTTATTTTCCAATCATTAACCGAATTCCCTAAATAAAATAATACGACGGAGCTGTAGAAAGAAACAAAAATAACGGAACAAATGATAAAAAATTATTTTTTCCGAGAAATCTATCCCTATGCCAATTTTTTTCATTTCTTTTATTAAATATTCAAAACTTTTTCATTGGATACCGCCAAGTTTCCCACGCAAGTGACAAATTATTATGATCAAAAAATATTGTAAAAATATATTTTCTGAATATTGGCATTCATATCATCTTTTATAGTAGAGACTTGTCCGGGTTCAAAGTACCGGAATTTTTATAATTCTGGCAAAATTATAATTAAATTGAATTCCGCCGCTGATTCTACCCTTTAAAATGATGATTATTCAAACTAAGCGTCGTCGCAATTGAATTATTAAATTTCGCATCGAATTTTCGGCCCGACCCGGACTATATCCGAGCGTTCGAGTTGCTACATCTAAATAAAAATAAGTAACACGTTTCAATGTAATTTTGCAACCTCCAAACTTTGGAATACTATGTTTTCAGTGGTGATTATTCTTTCAAATCCCTTGCGATCATCTTTTTAGTAATACTTTGTTCGAATTTTATTAGATCGATAATTTTTCAGTGGAATTAAAATTCCATAAATTAAAATAGGATCAAGGAACTAAATATTACGGTGCAGCAGCTTTTCATGCAATAATTTATTCGATATTCTTTTTATAATTGTCCTTATAAATATTATCCTTATTCTAATCCGAATGATTACTATCATTACTTGCTTTATTTGTGCTAGAAACAACAACACATTTTCCGGTAGCTAAAGATAATTCTCAATTAAATAAAGTTTATAATAAGAAATTCAATTTTCGGGGAGACTTTGTCTCCCAAGCAGAATTATTTTTATATAACACTATAGAACTAAATAGTATATTATTTATAATATTTATATGATATAATAAAACGAAGAAATTAAAAATAGAAACAAGTAATATTTTTTCCAAAAGAGAAAATGTGAAATAAAAGCGATTTTTTCTTTAATTTTTATTTTAAAAAAATATATATATATATTAAAAATTGCAACCAAGCTTAACTCTAATAAAAAAACAAATATAATTTTTCTCGTTGAAGATTGAATAAAAATCAAAATCAAAATCACATTAAATTGACTTAGTCACGACCAGTTTTTTAATTGATTCTTTTCATTGCTCAATATGATGCCTGGCTGCTACTTGTTTATAAAGATTTGGTTCAATAGAGAATAATAATAAAAAAAACATGTAAAATCAATCTACAATCAATAACAATAGAAAAAAATACTTATCTATTTCTCGAAGCGAAAGAGGATTCTAAAACCATAAAAGGAAAAGATCAAAATCAACAAAGTTACCATGATTTAATTTATGCACATAACTCGAATATAAAAATTGAAGAGGAACCTAGAAAACAAAAAAGAAAAATCGAAAAAATAATGAGAAAAAAGCCTAATAAATCATATGAATTTTCGAAAATGATGTTAACATATATATATTATTTTATTAAAAAATATAATTTAAAAGTTATAAAATAATATATATTTGCTATAGTTTATTTTTAAAAAATGTAACTTTTTATAAAGTAACATTTTCGAAATTTCATGATTAATATTAAAAATAATCAAAGCCAATAGTATAGTAAATGAAAAGATCGAAACATTAAAAGAAGAATAATCAACAAACCGAAGCTATCGAAAACCTAAAAAATATAAAAAAATGAAAATGAAATATCATAAAAAAAGTCAACACCTCTCTCTTATAAGCACATTTATATTAGTCAGTAGTGACTAAACGACTTATTAAAAAAATCTCTTCTATAATCATTTTTTGCTGTAAAAAAAAAAAATAATTATAACGCAATTTTACGAAACATATTCAAGGAAATGAGAATAGAGATGATCATAAACCACCTAAAGTTTTCATTTTTAAGTTGCACAAGATCTGATTGCTTACCTGGTAAAAAATATTATTATTTTGATTGAATTAACCAAATTTGATTCACTTAGTGTGTCGTGTGAAAGTATAAAAAGTAAGGGTTGACTGTCTGAAGCTAATATAAGGGTGACATTGATAAAAAAAAACAAGCAAGTTGGAGAATATACATTATTTTTATATTTTCTTATATTTTCAGTATGATATTTTCTTATTGTTATTTAGATAAGAGAAACTTCAAACATCGAAGCAGATACAATTCTAGTTAAGAATGAACGTAAGGCATCAGTCGCAGAAAGGGAAATGACTTTTGTTGTTATGAATGAAATTGATTTTCGTCTGAAGTTGGAATTCAGATAATCTTCAACAGTCTGAAATTGAGATTCCAAGTTCAGTTAACTGAAACTGGAATTCCAATTTAAGATACCCTTTTTTTTATCTGAATTCCAACTTCAGACAACATATAAAAAAACTATTTTAACCAATCACAATATGGCAATTTTTTTTTTTACAATTTCGTTATTGAGTTTAAATATTAATAATTCAGAAAAATTAGAGATTCTCAAAAGACAAAACAGTAATGACTTTATTGTAAATTGAATATTACATGCGGTGAATCATATTTTTATAACATCAATCATTTTTTTGTATCAGGATTATACTATATGTGAAAACAAGAATATTTCCCTTCTACATTCAAGAATAAGTTACGCGAAAGTATATATAGTATGGTAAAAATACTTTAGATGCGATGCTTGTAAATATTCAATCGACACAATATCATTAAAATTTTTGACCTATTGGTTGGATTAATTTTTAACCTATGAAATTAATCGTGGAAAAACGAAATAACAAGTTTTCTTTATAAAGTTGTCCGCTTTTTTACTAAACCAATATCAACAAACATTGAATTCTATGTGATGTTCCCTATTTTGAATATTACCTCACCTCATTGTCAATGTAATTTTAATGGATGTTAAAAAAAAATTTAGAAATTACTTTTTCAGAGATATTATTGGTGATGTGAATAAAATTTTTTCATTATAATTTTTATTGATTACCTTGATTATGTACCTAGTGAGAGATTATTATTAGATTTCAGCTAGACGTACTTAATTTTGATAACCAGGTTTTATTTATAGTAACCTGGCAAAACTCATTTTAGCAAATGGCAACTGATTGTTAATAAGTCTTTTAATTTAGTTTTGACTTTTATTATGGTTTCGAGTTTTAACGGTTTTACCAATAAGATTTTACTATATTTTTGCCAAAGACCCCGTTAAAGCCCAAAGAGTTTTGCCAGACAACAATATTTTATTTTGAAAGAAATTTAATGTTTATGTTTAAATTTTTTCAATGTAATTCATGTAATGCAACTGGTTTAAAAATAAAATAATAAATTTTAACTTTACAAAATGTTTATTTTAAAAAATGGATAAAATTGGTTCTTAAAAATAAAATCGATTCCAACTTCTAACATTTAATTCATGAAACTGGATAACAAATGAAATATTCTAATAACGTCAAAGTGATAAAGTTGAAATTATGGTTAATCTTTTGAACAAAAAACTTGTTTGGGCGTATTTCTTTAACCTTATCATAATGAGTTAAGTATTGATCTAGAGGCATGTAATCCTAATATATTTTTTAACTAATAACTGATAAGGTCAAAAAAATTTCTATCAATTTGATGGAGAAATTAAGCATTTCCAGGCCAGGCAAACATCTTGGCACAACTCTGGTATGATATCATATCCAAATCAATCTTATTAAAGAATTTTATTTTTGTCTTGTGATCAATCTAATTGATAACGTAATCAGCTGACCTGACCAAATTAGGCCACAAAAATCCTGAAATGGAAAATGGCGTACATAATTTTTATATTTTAATTGTATTGTTTCAAAAGCCAAAAGTGGAATGAACTGCACTTAATAAAATGAGTCTTACAAAATATGATGCCAATATTCATCCAGATGAATGGTTAAAAGATATTCAAAATTATTGTAATTTTCATCTTAAAGAAAGTTATTTTGTATGGTATTTTATTATACCATTAGTTGACGCTACTATCAATCTCCCAACTGGAATTAATGATATTGAAAAACTTCGTAAGGCACTCAAAGATGACATTTCGTTTACAATATTCAAAAATGCAAATAAAAGGAAGCTGCAGTTATTACAATATATTCCCGAAAGAGAAGGTGGAGAAACTTTAAAGTTCATTTCAAATTTTCGTAAATTATGTTATAATGCAGAAATCGAAGTGGAAGAACAAAAGAAATACCTTTATCAATCACTCCCAAATAATTACTTTTTAACCGAATTTTCTAAAAGGAAGGAGAAAATTAATTCTACAAATGAATTAATTAAAGAATTTGAGGAAATTGTTATGGAAGAATCGAATTTAATTAAACATAATTCCATCATAGCCTTAAAACATGTGGCTACAGGCAAATACTTGAGTTCAATTGGAAGTTTGAATTACACAACTGGAAGCAATTCTCAAATGGTATGCTTGTTTATAACGACAAACTTTATTTATTATAAATTTAAATTTATGAAAGCATCTCTTATCGTTACTTAGGTTTTTGCAAGTAATTTAGTACTTGATCGGAATGGTTTATGGACCATCCATACTAACAATTCGCATTTTAGTAATCCAGAATTAGCTTCTTACACCAACAACACTACTATATATCTACAACACAAAAATTCTAACCGTTATCTTGGAATTTATACTCGTGATTCTAAATCTCCATCAACCGGGCACACAGAAGGTAACCATTAGTATTTTATTAACTTATTTTTTAAAGGTTAATTCTAAAATATTAATTTTTTTTTAGTTTGTTGTTATCCATTTCGATATGAATGGAATTTTAAGAATTGTAAATTAGAGGATTCAAAAGAATATTTAAGATCAAACGATATTATTAATTTAAGTTACAATTCTTTACTATTTTTACGTAGTCATGAATTTCAATTTACTATTAATAACGATACTTTTCAAGAGGTTGTTTGTCATAACGAAAGGTTAGGAGGTAATGATGAGGTATGTACTGTACTTTTTACCTTTATTTGAATTTTGTATAGTACATATTTGGATTTAAAAGTTATCTTTTTTTTTAGTGGTGCATTGAACTTGTTAAGCAGAATTAATTTATAAATATTTATGAAGACTATTTCAATAGGGATGATGCTATTCCCATCCTTTATTCTTTTTATTCTTTTTTGAACAAACAAATACAATAGATTTATTTTAAATATCTTTTCTTTAAATGTATAAAAATTTATTTAAAATAAATTTATAAACTTTTTTAAAAAGAAATATGGTCATCAGTCAATTAATACCTGATTTTAGACTTTTCTTTTCATGCATTAGATTATCTTTATATTTTCAGAGTGACAATTTAATTCTTTAAACTGCAAATTGTTATCATAATTATTTGTGTGAAGAATACTATCAAAAGAAGTACTACAAACGAATGATTTAAAATGTTTCAAAACTAATTTACTAGGCATCATAAAAATTTTCTCACATGTTTGTGCATAGTTAAATTATTTAATCATATATGGAAGTGTAATTTCAATCGAAATTTTTCGACATAGACTTTTTCTTATTTAGGAAGTCTCGAAAACAAATACTTATTGTTGACAATAAAAAAAAAATCAATTTAAAAATTTATGAAAATACGTCATGAATTATTTAGTAGGACTGCCGACGCGTAGCAAAGTAGTATTTCGGAGCTTTACCGGCATTTATTTCTAATCGAAAATAATTTGTTTGAAGACAATCAAATATTAAAAAATTTTAAATGTTATTTAAACTAAAATTCATTAAAAAATAAAAGAGGGAAAACACGGAATTCCATCATTTGAATGCCCTAGTACCATAAAGCAGATGATTTTAAATTCTAAATTTGGAGTTGCTTCTTGATTACTTATTCGTTGATGATTATTAAAGCGAGACCTCGTTCATCTCTTTGTATTTACAGAATTACCATTTTTCTTCATCTTGCAACTGCTGTTCAACATCAAAATACAATTCGTTCGTGTCGGAAATCGGTGCCAACAACAAAATAATTTAAGAGCTTTATAACTATGTCGATTCACCAATCCTTAATTGTATGCCGTTGACCTTTAAGAGTATAGAAAGAACTGTCCAGTGGCATATGCGAAAGTCTTATAGTCATCATCCAACGATACATAAGTCGAATGTTTTATAAAGTGATTTGATATTCATATGGAAAACAAGTTGGTTAACGCTTACTCATGTGCCCGAAATACGAACAAATAATACTTTCATTCCTTTAGACCAGAACCATGTTTCGATCTTCTAATTTACTTTTTTGGATTAGAACTAATACAAATATACCTGAATTCTGTAATAATGCACGCATCACCATGCAATCTAGGTGTACGTCAACGTTTGATTTGTCGATAAAAATTTGCACAAGCTGGCCTGAAGTTCTTGCTACAAGAAAGGAGATTCGCTGCTTAAGTCAAGGAAAAGCCAATTTGACAATCATAGCAATTATGATATTACGAAAATGAGATATCAAAAATCAAGACTTACCGGTGGTTAATTTGTTTTGGGGATAAGAAGCTGAAAATAAAAAGAAAAATTATGTCATGCAAAATTTTTTTATGTATAGACTGAAACTACAACTCTGTGTAGAATGTACCAATACCAGGTGGAAATTACTCTTTCAAATTCCCTATCGTACTTGAGATAAAGCCTATCACGTGTCGGATATCTTACTGGATTGACCAAATATGGAACTTTTTAATTCTTCTGTGAATAAGGCGAACAATTTCTGAAAAAGTATTTTGGTATTTTTTTTCTCTATAATTGCTGATAACATAATGCCTTATATAAATATACAGTGCATATGGTTAGGAAAGTTTGAAACAGATTTTGAAAGTCGAAAATACGAATTAGGGTCTCAATTGTCGCACAAACCTACTGATTTATCCAAGTTCTGCAAGTGAAATCAGATATATCATAACTTTTGGTGATTAGCATTAAGATAAAAGAATAAAATAACATCGATTCTTACCGTCATATTTCTTCATAATTTTTTCACAGCCGATTATTCTCAAAAGTTCTTTTTGGATTTGCCGTATTACAATTGTATTAAGTATTTATATTTTCGTTTGCAGCGATAGGAACTTTGCCGGTGAGGCAATTATTACGAATATTTAGAAAAGTTTAGTTCGCATTTAGACCACAATACTGCTTTTCGTTAATTTTTTTATTGTAGACGTTTACGTTTAAGTACGTTTAAGTTCAATAGGTTTCATCAAATATTACTTGTGTAAGTATCCCATGTGAAAAAAGGCTATTTGATGAAATCAATGTGATTCTCTAGTCAAACACTTTCGTAAAATCACTTTTGAAGATATTGAAAAATTTCGAATACGCTGAAGCCATAATTAATGAAGTGACTAGGTTGACGCTTTTAGAAATGCGGTAATATTTATTGTCTTTCACGACTCTTCGAACATTATTGGATCACGCACAAATTTATTCATAAAAATGAACTTTCACTTTCTTCTTTTTTTTTTTATAAAACAAACCTTTTTTGAGATTAATCACATATTTTACATCTTGGATTATAAAATTATTTATAAATTATACATAAATACATTCGTTCGGAGTATTAATATATATAGAATTAATCCAACATTCAATATACAATTATACAACTCATATGGCAAGATCAAAAGATCAAAAAATAAATACAGTAAATACAAATAACTTACACATTCACTGAAACAGAGCATTGCGATAGTGGTAACTCCAAGGGATTGTTCAGAAAGCGAGAAGCGACCCTGCTCATGAACTCCGTTTAATTGTTGTTTTGCAAGGGACATCACGAGTAGCTACCAATGACCCCCTTCCTGAAGCGCCTAATTAAAGCCCAAAAGTGGCTACAATTAAGTATAATACCTCCAACCGCTACTGTACATGGATACACAATAAAATAATAAAACAAATAATACAAATAAAAAATACATTATTGTTACAAAACATATATACTGTAAATGTCGTTTTTGCCCTGGTTAAATGTAAATTTTGAATGAGTGTGTCACAGAACATTATTATTACCTTTATATAAAAATACATATTTTATGAAATACTATACAGAAATTCTATATAATTTAATAAACTAACAAGTACATACACATATATTTTATGGTTTTAGAAATTCATACAAAGCTTATCTCAAGAAAATAAGGAGACTTTTTCCCGCTAAAAAATTTAATATTAATTTATTCACAGTTATACAATAGATTAATAATGGAATTTTTTTTTTTTTACAAAAAAGCAAACGAGAATAATTTATATTTTACATGATACAAACATTTACGGGAGATTCGCAGAAAAAGTATTTAATTTTAAAGATATTAAATAATATTCTTAAGTTGAAGATAAATTTGTATTTTATTAATTTTAATTAAAAATTGTAATAGATTTGAAAGTTATTACATATAAATATATTATTTTTCCAGAATAAATTTTTGACTCTTGGTCAATGATTGCAACAAATTTCAGTTAGAACACAATAGATCGAAAAGGAGTAAACATCTTGATGATGGAATGTCTGTCCTAAACTGGAAGTAAAACAATAGGTTCTTTACTAATTTAGTATACGTTAAGGGAGAGGAAGTCACACAGGACAAGTGTTCTCAGTTTTTGCATGATAATACGAATCTTCACTACCCTATTTAGGAGACAGTCTACATTACCATACACGGCTTGGAGGCCGCACACCCCGTATATTACTGTTCGTTCACCAATGAAACAAATAAGGAGTTAAAACTCACCTTTCGTAAAAAAGCTCACTTCTTTCTCTAAAGATGCGTTTTTGTATTTCTTTTTTTTATTTTTATTCCATAAAGTAAATAATAAATAAATAAAAATAAAAACCACGCAGTTCTAGCGTCACCATTTATTTGGGTTGTTATGAGAGTGAAAAAATAAATTGTTGAAGCGTTTAATAAAAAGGTGAGGTTATAAATGATGAATTTTGACGCGTCACTTCATTTAATAAAAAAATGACAAATGAGCAAATCGAACATTTTATGACAATTTTATTCTAGAACCACAAAAATGCTGTCGATCACTCAATTGAAAACTCAAACTCTTTCCAAATAAAGTTAAGCAACGTTGCCTCCGGCTTTTCGGCATTCTTTTATTATGCTAAAGAAGAATATTAAACGTTATTTTTAATATCTTTAAATTCTTAAATGATAAATAATTATGGATTTTTCAGAATTTTTGAATTTTTTATTATTTTAAGATTTGGAAATTATATTAATGATTCAAATATTTCTAGATCTAACACAAGATGAAAACGACGGGATGACAAGTTGACTCCAATGATGATTCCATTGATGATGTTTCACCAATAAATGTGTGTAATTGGATAAAAATATTTTCTTCAATTCTTGTTAAATTAATCGTTTTACATTGTCCTTTTTATTTTATGACTCAATTGTTGCATCGAATACTTCAAATCTAATAAATCTTCTAAAGAAGCCTTTACCATTTCTCTACTAACACAATAGAATGCATTCTAAATAATCTAATAATTATGTCAAAAATGTATTTTAGACCTGAATTAGTGTGAATGAAAAATGAGAGTTTAGCATAATGAACTCTGATAAGATTCCTCACTTTTTGAAGAATATGAAATAAAAATTGATGATAAAAGGTTAATAATATTTTTGTAGGATTTATTTATATATATTTTTTAAAAAATGATAACAAGGTTTTTTATTTAGTGTATAAAGTAGGAGATTTTTTAATATATTATGAGCAGTCCTCAATGTTTAAATACTGAGTATATGGTATAATAATTATAAAGCAGATAGTAATTCACTTAAAATTAAATCCTTTCATATAAAGACTTTTCTAATTGCCACTTTATTGACAAATGATATAATTATAAAGATGATAATAAATTATGGCTAGTTGAAGATAAAGTGAATTAATCAATTCAGTGAGTATAGAATAATATATTATTGTTTGGTGATGTGACATAAAGAATATAATATTTATATTAAAGAAATTATATATCTTTTTAATAGTAAGTAGAAATACTATGATATAGCAATAAAATACTAGCTATATTGTAAAATTATTACAATATCATCATTTATTATGATATCTCTCTACTTTAAAGGTTTTCTTAACATTTATGTTAATGACTTTAGCATTTATAAAAAGTATATCATTCATTAGAAGGAGTTTATTACAATTCAAAAATATATTATTAACTTTCTGAAGATAACTAAAAAATCATTTTTTAATCAGTTTCATTCCTTTTAATGTAATATTTGAAAATTTTATTAAGCCTATTATTCAAAATATAAAGCGATTAAAAAAAAGCTCAATTATAAAAACAATAAATAGTAATACTTAAGTAATTAGTAGTCTTAAATATATTATAACTGACATTTTGCAAGATAATAACTTAGCTGACATAAAATATCATAGTACAATTCATAATTGTAAAACATGTAATATTTCAAGTGATCACTTTATTAGTTCAGCTTATGATTACATAAAAATACATTTAATTAGAATTTTATAAGAGTCTGAAACAATTTTAACTTTAATAATAATATTGATCATTTTCAGTTTTATATTGATCATTTCTAAATTCTAATTTTAGATTTTTTGATTAATGTTATACAAATATGAGAAATTTTGATAGCCTAATTGCTTACTTTATTAATAAATAATTAACTATAAAAATTTAACTAAATAAAGTTCATATATCATATAATAATATGAATTAAAATCTTAATTTTAATTGGTAGGGTCTTGTAAAATAATTTTAATAGCTTAATCCTATATGCTTTATATTTATTTTATATATGATTGTAAAAGAACATATAATACTGAATATGATAAAACAATTAAAGTTATATTCTAAATCAATTTTATTATAATGTAGATAAATAGATTAAATAAAATATTTAAATAATTTTAACTTACAAATTTTTGTATTTTTAATGATTATATTTTTATTTAGTTTTATTATTTTTTAACTTATTCTTAATATATAATATTACATATTAACATATTTTTTAATATATAATAAAAATATTATTATCATATTATATTAATATATTTACAATATATAATTAAAATATATTAATAATATTATAAAATATATTTCTGATATATTTCTGATATCAAGTTAAAACAGAGTTAATAAAAATAAATCTACAATATATCTATTATATTTTAAAAGTACTTTTAATATATTTTTTAAAATATAAAATTTCAGAAAATTTATCTTGTAAATGATAAAGATTTAGAAAATTTGATTAAAATTTAAATAATTCTAATAGAACTTTAATGATACATATAAATTAACTTCTCTAATTTAAAATAAGATAATTTAAAAAATAAGAAGATTTAATTCCAATTCAGCTTATAGTTTTGATTTTAATTTAAAATTTTTAAATATTTTACAATAAATTTAAAATTATTAATTATTTAGGTAAATTTACCTAAAAAGTAAAAAATGAAATAATTAATTACACTCATAATAATATATATTTATTTGCATTCATATTAGCAATAATTAAAATAATTTTTTATTTTAAATGAAAATTTTTTATTATTTTTAAAAAAGTTGCTAATTTTAACTTTAGTTTATTTTTGATCTAATTATCAAAACTTTTACATATTAATTATTTAAATTAGCTTTTCAATTATACATATCTATCTTAACTATATTTTGCTTATGACTTTAAAAAAAATTTAGAATTAAATTTTACTTTTAAATCGTAAAAAATAAAGATAAAATCATTAGAAATTTTGATCAAGCATAGAAAATAAGCTTTTAAATCAATACTGCAGTTACAAAGTTATAATTAAAAAAAAAAGAAATGCTATAAAAAAAAAAAGTCAATTAATTTTAAATTTTTCATAAAAGAAATTATATACTTAAAGTATCATTTGAATTGCTTCTAATAGAATTGATTTTAGAATTTATGGATTAGCAATTTATAAAAGTTTTTGAAATAAAAGATTTACTTTTTTTTAAATGTTGTTTTAAGAATTTTCTTTTTTTTGACAATTAAAAAAAAAAAAAAATAAAAAATGATTTAAAAAAAAATTATGATTTTAAATGATCTCAAATAATCTCAAATGATATCATTTTTATTATAAATTAATTATACTGTATTTTCTAAAAAAATCATATGATTTTAAAATAGCCAATCAAAATTTGACTGTCAAAACTAATTATTAATTTATCCAAAACTTATATAATTTATTAATAAATATGTCTTAAAACTCTAAAATATATTTTAAATTAAGGTTAAAATGTTATTTCATCTCTAAAACTACTAAAATTAGTTTCAGAGTTCTGGAGTTTTAGGGATTTATAATTTTAGTTAGTAGCTTTAGTAGAATAGTATATTTTTAGCCTTATTCTATTTATTAATTTCATTATAAAATTATAATCATGATTATAATTAGTAAAAAGCAGTTGTTCAGATGAAATTTCTCACATAAACATATTACTATAAATATCTAATAAAATTATATTCTTTTTCATTAATAACTTCAAGTGCTATATAAGAAAGATTTCTATATATACTTTCTAATATTTTATTAACAAGAGCGTAAAATCTATAATTACTAATATCTCAAAAGTCAGCTATTTTATTATATAGTATATTTTCTGAATACAAATTTTTATAAATAGAATTTTTCATATTAAAGTCTTAAAATTGTATTAATTATATTTAAAAATATAGTTATTCTTTTATATTTATATAAGTTAATTATAATTTTATTGTAAATATTTTATTAAATTTATATTATATATAATTATTACTAGAAAATAATCTTTATTTTGTGGATTTTGAATAAGATCACGAAATTAAATAAAGTATCTAAATTTGCTACTTAATATTAATTAAGATTCAACCTATAAATAAAAATTCAATTAATTAGGTTTATTTGTTAATTTATAAAAAATAGCATTATTAATACTTTTAAATAACATACCTCTATAAACTAATTTCTATTAGTACTTTTAATATTTTTAATCTTTTAAATTTTACTTTTTTACCTTTAAATTTTATTAATTGTTTTCTAATAGAATCCCATTTATTATAAATTCTATCAATTCAAACTTCTATATAAATTTTAAAGTATTAATCTTTAATTAGATATTCAATATTTTGTAAATTATTATACGGTATTTACTCAACTATATTATAAGAAATAATTGCTTTCATTTGACATCTTTTTGTAGTAATACCTCTATAAATGCACTTCTTTTAGAATCATAATAAAAAATAGCATACTGTATATTTAGAGAGGATGTACATTTATAGAAAATAAAATATTAAGAGTTTTTATGAGTTAGGACTAAAGTCTACTGTATATTTAAAGAGAATTTACATAGAGTATATATTTATAAAAGGTATACTTATAGAAGTTTTACTATATTAAATTATCAAATGTATTATTTTAGATACACTGTTTGAAAATTATGCTTACAAATAACTTTGAATACAAAGTTTATAATATAATACTAAGAATTCTTTTTTGCAGTTTTTATAAGTTCTTTAGTTTCTTAATTTAAAGAAACTTTATCATGATTATGATTATAAATTATAATTTATATTATCTTTAATTTTTCTCATTTGTGAAAGATTCATTAGCGTAAAGTATTTATTACATAAATTTATATTATTTATTTATATTGAAACTGGCAAAAACTGACAGACCTGTTAAATATGACATATATGCCAAATATGTCATATTTGCCAAATAGGACACATATATCATTTATTATATTTTTATTATATTTATCATTATTATTATTTATTTCATATTTAACATAATTAGAATATCTGCTAGCTCTGTTATTATTATTAATAGTATCATAAATACCATAGATTTTCTTTAATTATAATTTTTCTATATAAAGAGCATGAAAATGTCTTGAAAAAAAACAGATTTCAACATTGTATTCAGTATATATTTAATAATAATAATAAACAAACTTAACATATTGCAAACATAAAACTTATAATTTTATTCTTGTTAACTAAATAAACTCTCTAATTAATAGCATGTTAAATTAATTGAATTTAATTAAAGCTATTGCCTCCTTGACTTCAAATCATAGTTAACTTATTTGACGAAAGAGTAATATTAATAATGTCTAAATTATAATTATTTAAATAATTATTCTAAAAAAGAAAATATAATAGTATTACTAATTTTATTTATTTATTTAATTGAATTATTTTATTTTTTTTACTCAAATTAATTTTAGGTTAAATCAGATTGAATCTTGAAAAATTTTGATTAATGATATTCCTTTAGCTGAAATTATTAATTTTCATTACTATAATATAGATCTTTAAAGAATTATTTAATTTAATTAGTATTTATTATTATTAGTAATTGTGATTATTATAATTATTTTTTTATTTTTATTTTTTTTACATAATTACATAAAAAAATGATAAAAAAAACTTATTTTTTTTATTTATATAGTTCTTCTTTCTCTATTTATTTTTTTAAAAAATCATATATAAATAACTATTATTCTTATTAATATTGATATTGATATCTATAGTTCTTGTATGAAGCTAATCAAATTTCTTTTTTTTTTTAAATTTAAAATGATTATAGCTAAAACTATATAAAATAGAATACTTGATACTAATAATTATATAGCATGAACTGTATATAATATTTTTATGATAATTTTGTAATTTTAATTAAAATCTCAAAAATGATAAATAAAATTAAAACAATTACTTGAGGAATCACAGATAAGGATTCACAATAATATCAAAAATTATTCTTACTATAAAAATACATAAAGTAAACAATATAAATATTAAAATAACTCAAAGATATTTTAGAGATTACATATTAGAGATTCTAAATTAATACAGTAAATTAATATAATATTATACAATAAGATTTACTAATAATAATAAAAGGAATTACTCAAATGTAAAAGGGTCACAATTTATTTATAATAGTTTTAAAAGGATTGTGAAAGATAAATTTTATACTTGATTAATTATACTTCTTTATTAATATAATATGTAAGTTCTGTATTTAAAAGATTATTATTTTATTAGTGCTGAGACTCAAAAAAAATACAGAAATATTTATACATATTGAATAAATAATAAAATAAACTAAATTCATTTAGCAACTTTCTGGATTTGAACAGGAATGATAAACTCAAAGTACTCACAGTCAATAAATCTATCAATTAGTTCGCCATCTGAAACCTTTTTTTGATGAATACCTCTTCTCTCTCCACATCTTTTGCTTCATGTAAGCTCAAATCATTCATAATTAAAAACTTCATCGATAAACTTTCTTCACTATTGCGCCTCACATTATTACGACCTGACTTATATGAACACTGGCCTTGTATGAGTTGCAACGTTGCTACTGAAACTGCTTTTCATATTTGGATATATTTAACGTACTCTTCAAAAATTATGGACACAATCTCAGCTACTAAAAATGATCTTATTGATCAGCTAAACTTTTCATACAGAGCCAGATACACAGCACACCAAACTGAATTAGAGGATGTATTCAACAACACTTTCGCATCACCTTCAAATGCTTCTAATGACTACACAGACATCATTCAATCCAGAATTTCATCTTCCTTTATAAATATTATTCACAAAATTATTGCAAATAAAGAACAATGCCTCTCCATCATTTCACGCTCGCTGCTCCTCTTTCACCAAAAGCTATATGATGACGTCTGGAAACACTGTTGCAACTTATTAATCACCAAAGAGTATTCAATGGACATCACTAAACAAGACAAGCGTAAACGCAGTGCCAGTTCACCCTGCTTCACAGATAGACATCAAGCCTCTCTTTTAACTGGGAAACTTGAAAATATCTTGCGAACAAATTTGGCTACATATTCTCAGATTTTTAGATAGGCACTGACGTCTTCTTTTTCTTTTCTTGCTGAAATTAATCTTCATTAAGTATACATTTAGTGGAGTTGATATAAGGGAAAGACGATAATAGGTCAATTCAAACGGGTTTGCAATATAACTATGGGGATAGCTAGTATTTAGCATTTATTTTTGATTTACTTTGTATTTCTTTATATATAAATTTAATAAAGTTACTGGCAGTGCCACATCATTAAAAAAAAATAAAATAAAATAAACTAAATTAAATATATTAAAGAAAATAAAATTATCTTATTACTAAGCAATAAAGTTGCTATATCAATAAAATTACCAGATCTGCAGGCAACTAAATGGATATTTATGATCTACATAATTATCAAAGATAATAAAATTAACATTTAGATATTTATATAATGATCAACAGCAATAAAATAGACAAAATAATCTTCTTAAAGATCTACATGACAATAAAATTAACTTCTTAATCTATTAATTAAATCTATCTAAATTTTACCCATTATGATGTTAATAATCAGCTGTTAATTATTTAACCCAAATCCTCATCATTTACCAAAATTATCTTATTTAATAAATAAATAACTTGCAATTATATCCTTTTAAATTTATTTTTTACTTTATTAAATAATATTTAATGAGAGTTTAATAATATATATAATTATTGCTGATAATTTATTATTTTTAAATTTCATTATAGGTATCCGAGTCTAACGAAAATCTCGAAGAAATTCATCAAAGCTTGCAAAAAAAAAAGCTCCTATGTTTCATATGGTTTTTTTTTTTTATTATTTACCGTTATCAATTAGCCATGTCACTATTAGCGAATTGCAAAAGTCAAAATTATATATTGACGGATTTGTTAATTTGACGGGACTTATTATAGTTTTGTGATTAGACGTTTTTTACTAATAATAAATTTTTTCCGAAGAGGAAATTCATGCCAATTTTTTCATTTTTATATCATCAACATAGAAATAGAAATCAATTCTAGGTGAATATTTCGTAATATAATTTATTCGTATGGAATCGATTTCGATATTTTGAATCGATTTGAGAATCGATTTAATCTCGGTTATTTTTTTCTCAAGATTCGACTCGAAGTTTCAATTTTCGGTTTTCGATTAATCGAGTACGATCGATCCATTGAGTTAGGTGCTTGAAGAACGAACACCTTAAATAAATAAAATTTAAAAAAAAAAGTTCAAAATTAAAATAATTAATTAAAAAAATTGCGAATATTAAAATTAATTAAAATAAAAAAAAAAAAGATCAAAAAATCACGGAGGGTAAAATTAAAAATATTAGTAGAATTAAAAAAAATCAAATTAAACCCGCCTTTATTTATAAAAAAAATAATTAAAAAAAATTCGCGATTTTGAACCGATTTAAGTCTAGTCCTAAGAAAGATTTACTTAACTTCTTCTTTTTAATACGATTTTTTGTGTAGTTGGTTTTTTAGTCAAATCTATATGGAGACACGATAAAGGTTGAAAGTGTGAAGGAGGAATTTATTATTACAAGATTTCGGACGTTTTTTCTCTGAAATAAATATAACTAATATTATAATTATTTTAACATATATAATATCTGACATTTTCATTTTTTTTTTCGCAGTTACTGCGCCGTTCGTAATTGCCGATTTCTTGTAGCTAATATATAAAAAAATAAATTTTTTTTTTTTTTAAAAAAAAAAAAAAGAAATTAACAGAAAATTATAAAAAAAATACATAATTAAGAAAACCGAAAGTAAACAAATAAATTTCATCTTTTTTTTAAAAAAAAAAAAATAATTAAAATAAAAAAATTTTAAAAAAAAAAAATAATTAAAAAAAAAAAATTAAAAGTTAGCGTTAAGATTAGGATTATCATTAGGGATGTTAAGAGGTCCTAAGCGGTCCTAAAAATCCCAAGACAATTACAAAGAATTATTTTTACAAATTTATATATGAAACTTGTCTATTATAATGTTTTAATGAGCTACTTAATGAAACTAAATAATAAACCCTCCCGGAATCCCAGAATTTCTTAAAATTTAAATTTTGGGATTTAGGACCGGTTCTATACTTAGCGGTCATCATCAAAATTGCCAATTTAGAATATCATTTTCGCTTTTTACAAATTAATTAAAAAATTTTTATGACATTTTTTTTGATGGGGATTACTTATTATAGATAGGTGATTAGAATTCTCTAGAGTTAGTAATTCTTAAAGCGTAAGGACTGGTTAAGGACCGCTTAACATCCCTAATTATTTATAAAAAAAATCAATAAATTTATTATGAATTTTAAATTTTTTTTGTTATAGTTATGCTTAACTTTAAAAAGTAAGTTTTTCAACATTTATTTCACGCCGTGTTAGCGAAACCTCGGGCATCGCCTGGTTAAAATCGCTAGTTTAATGATAATAATTTATCGCGAAATCAAATTTTTTTTTAATAATACTTTACAATTTATGGTTTAGTATTTATAATAATTTGTTTATTTAAATTTTTGGACATGAATATTGTCAAAATATTTTAAATTCTTTCATATATTTTTGTAACTAAGCAACTAATTCAACTTCCACTTCATATAGTTAGAATAATTATAATGTGCCACTGAGCATTATATATAGGTATATGTCATTTTACGTCTAAAATAGATTCGATTTTTTACATGATTTCAATTCGATTTTCGATTAATTCGATTTCATTAGAATCGATTCCAATCCCCAGCTGCACGAAGACGTTCAGTGAAGAAGAAAAAACCTGAATTTGTGATAGGGACTGCTACCATTAGTTGATATATCAGAAAGAACCATGAGAAATTTGGAGCTCCTGATGGTATGAAATGTATAATTTAGGTATATATCAAATTTCATCCTCGTCACAAATTTAAAGTCTTGAAGATCGTTGTCTGTAATATATATGAACATTTAGATAATGAAAATAAAGAAGCATTATTAAAATTATTCTTGGTATGCGCGTATTTTTAAAATTCTTGTATTGATAATTTACTAACTTGTTATTAATACTATAAATACTTGTATTAATAATATTTTAAAATGATTACAAATATACATAGTTATACAAATCAAATATAATAATATAAACAAAAAAAATTTTAATAAAATTTTTTTTAAAAGCGTTTCATTTATGTTACGCAAATTGTTTTTAATATGATAAGTGTCAATCAATGTGATGGGATATACCGGATACATGTGATACATTAATTTTAAAATAAATTTATTTTATCTATCAATTCAAAAAAAAAAATCCGAATCCAGTTCGATCATTTAATCATTATTCAAGAAAGATGGAAATATAATTTTGCGAACTTTTATAAAAAAAGGTATAATTTCAAAAAACAAAAAAAAAAAACAAAAAAAAAAAAAATCATAAACGCCATGAATAATTTTATTTTTGCAACCATTATATTGGCCATGATTTCAATGGTAAATGCTAAAAATGCATATATGCCGTGCGTTGCTATATACCCTTCTAATACACTATCCCTTGTAACACTTTCACCTGATCCTGTCGCTGGAAAACCTTATGATTATACTATTTACACAGTTCTAGATAAAGATGTCATAAGTGATGACTATTTAGAAGTCGATATTGTTGATGATAAATCAAATCCTTTATCTGATCCTTTTACTATGGATATTTGTTCTAGTACTGGAATTAAGTGTCCAATTAAAGCTTTAACCTTAATTAAACTTTCAACGGAAGTTCCAATACCAGCCACTTTACCTACTGCATACCATTTTATAGTTACTATTACTAATCCTAATAATAAAACCAATCCTTTAGCCTGTGCATATTCTTATCCGAGTAAATAAATCATTTTTTTTTTGTTACACATTTACTTTTTAATTATTATAAATAGTCATTTTTCATTGAATTAATAATAAATACACTATATTTAATATGTATTGGGGATAATAACATCCCTTATTTAAAGGAATATGTGTTACAAAACATTTCTGAAATTCCTGTTGCATCTCTATCTATCATATAATACTATACTGTAACTCTTATATATTCTTAAGTTCCTTGAATATAAATCGAAACACAAATAATTTTTTACCGAATTGTAATTTTAATAACAAAGAACCAATCAATTATTATATCAATTTGATGTTTAATGAGACTTTTTTTTTGATACATTAACAGTTGCTTATTATCTGTTGCGCTATATATCAAAATAACAAACTTGTAAATTATTATTTTAGCTTAAATTTCTTTTGCATTTGTATAGCAGTGGAAATTTAAAGTCTTCGTTGCAGGAAGCCGAGTCATTCAGGATTTATACATTACAAAATTTTTT